ATTGTTCTCAAGCAGAAAATTAGCTATGAAGACCAAACCCAGTACTTGTACCTAGCTATAAATATGTTCATTTCATAGCTTGAACTGAGCATTTTAAAGAAGTCTGGGAATTGACTTGCTTTTAGGGCCAGCTTCAAATGGCCTTTCTAGGAACTGATATTTGACGCACGTTCTCATACTACATTTTTCAGTCAGAGAGATTGTTGCTCCATCTGATTTTGTTGCTATTACGTAAAAGTGTGCGTCAGGTTTTCACCTACTGTAACAAAGGATACTAAAGTTCTCTTGTATGTGCTGCATTCCTGCAGTTTACAAGGCAAAAAACAAACTTGTTTGATCACGGTGACTGCTATAGATTCCAAAGTGGAAACGCAACATGCACCTGTTTTACAATAAGATTTAGTAAAGAATAAGAGATTCATGAGACGTGATATCATGACCATTAGCGGCTGATAAACACACAACCACAGGTGTGGTTTTAGGGAGGCTGGTGGTGATTTTTCCACCCTGACTGTTACGCAGAAAGTGCTACAGAAAGGTGACTCTTAAAGAACTTAGACATCCATCTATCACAACAAAAAACACAGGAAACAAGCAAGTTTCCATAATTAAACAGTCGAGCTCGTCTGCAGCCTAGCCAAATGAATAAGTTAACAATCCCCAGAAGCATGCTGCAGTATGAGCTCACACCAGTACAGCCCAACTGCATGCACACAAAAACTCATGTAGAGCACAGACCAAACCTAACAGGCACATAAGCACTACTTTAATGCTAATAAGGAAGGGGAACTGTGTAAAGAGTTCGTAGCTGGTGTTTAAAACATTTATAAGAACACGCTTGAAGTGAACCCACACTTTCTATCCCTTTATAATGTGTGTCTGTCCGATGCTGACTACTACAGTAACTCCAGAATCAATCAGCAGGGAGAAGCAGCCTCTGCTCAAGGCCTTGACACTGCTGTGGTTTGCTGTTTTGTCAGAGAAATATGAACCTTTGGAAAATCTAACCGCTACACCTCTGCTCTGCCGCCCTGAAGTTATCTAAGGATATTTGATCACGCTGTAAAATACTTTTGCTCTGTCTGATACATCATCAACTGAAAATATTTGCATGGAATAGTTTCCAAGAGCATCATGTGACCTTCGAAACGGTCCAATCAGGATTTCTGATTCGAGTTTGAAATAGGTCAAAATATTTGTTGGACAAGGTTTTTTTCATTTAATAAAAAACAAATCCTGACAGTTGCCTAGCAATGTTCATAAAGATAGGGAGGACGCACTGTTAGTGAAACTGCTTTGCAGACACAATACTTTTTAAATGCCCGATGTCCTCTTCGCTCTGTCCTTTTACCTGCACATGGAAGTATTTCAGGCCAACGTCAGGTTAAAATGGGTCAACAACAGTGCTCTGCCGTGCTAAAATCGGACACCTTGAAGCATATGTTGTTAGCCTCATTTTGTCAATGTCACGATAGTTCTGCTAATAAAAATCATGCAAGTGTGAATTTGTAATACAAAATAATGATATGAGAGATGTCAACAAACTGATGCGTAATCTCCATTTCTGCAAAAGCTGCCTGGACTCAGCAACTAGTCTCTATCTTAAGGCATTGATTGAATAACCATTTTTAAAGGACAGTTGCAAAGCCCCAAAGCATGCGTGTGTGTGTCTGTGTGGGAAGGGAGCTAATCTGCCTTGTGGTGCTGTTGAAGGTCTTTGAGAGTCTATGGTGCCCGAGCCTGAGGTCACACACCCTCTTCTCTCTTCAATTCATCCTTCGTTTCTATGTTCCTCTCCCCCTTCTTGATCATCCTCTCCTTTCATTTCCTTTGTCTTTTCTCTCCCACTATTTCCCCTCCTTCCTCCCCCGTGTTTTCAGTTTCTCCAGCTTCTCACAGAGGTCCCTCCACAATCACCTTCCACTTACTCAAACTCGACCCCCATTCGTCTAGCATCCCCTCCCCCACTCCCATCTTCCAACTCACTTCCCTCCAAAAGTTCTCCAACTCCACCTATCAATGTTTCTGTTTAATATTTTAACCGATTTAAACCGCCTGTGCGCTCAACCCCCTCTATCAGTTTGGTAGAGTACACTGCTTCGGTGGTCGATTGCTGAACCGGCTCTTCAAGATCCCTTGTGAAAGATCAGGCTGAACTTTGACTCGTACCCCTCCTCCCACCCTCAGTCTCAGGTCTTTCATACAACCCGTTTCTCTCTTCCGCTTATCCAGTTGGGGGTCATGGGCGGGGGGCTGGAAACTATCCCAACTGCCATAGGGCGAGAGGCGGGGTACGCCCTGAACAGGTCGCGAGTCTATCACAGGGCTAACACAAAGACACGGGCCACCAATCGTGCTCACATTCACACCTACGACCAATTTGGAATTGCTAATTAACCTCTCACCGTGGAAGTAACGTGTAGGGTTGGGAAAAGTAACAGCCAAATGTTCAACTTCTAACGAGCTGATAGCCACGGCTTATATTCATTAATAACAGTCGGCGTTCAAGTGAACAAGGTCAAGTGTGACTCTCTGGCTGGTGTATTTATAAGATGCTTTCTCTTCATGCTTTAAGAAGGAAATAAACTCGATGATCTCTCGCTGCGTCTGCTGTTTCCTCCTGCGTGGAGAGCTGCATATATGTAGCCGCTCTGTCCTGTCTGTGCCTTCACAATCAGCATCATAGCGGGTGATACATAAATTAAGTGCAACATTAAATTGCAAGAAATCCGGCCGCTCCTAGGTCACAGCTGCCGGGTCTAGTTCATGAGTCACTGAGATACAAACAAAGTCCAAAACTTACAATTAGTTATCTTACCAAGACTACATGAGCTTATTATGATCTGTAGCTTTAAGTAACCCAAGTTCAAACTGATCACAAGAATTCCTTTCATTCCGGGACACCTACAGGAGCCTCTTCTTTCCCATCCATCTTCCAACAGACACTCTGATAAGGCACCTTAGCTACTGGATGACCTTCTTCCTCTCCACCCCCCTCTAACTATTCATCAAACGCTTAAGCAAAGTACCAGCTTCATCTCCCTTCTCATCTCCCGTTCTGCTTCCATGTAACTACAAATTTCTCTGGACACAAATGTGAACCTGTTCTGGGATCCAAAGCCAGGAATTTGAAAGACACCTTCAACTCTTAATCAAGCAAACACAAACACACACGTGCATCGCACTAACATATGCATACTGGAGTGACAAGTGGGTGCCGATGGCAGGGGGACATACTCACGTCACACAGAGATATTTCCACGCTAAAAACTGACAAGTTCCAGATGATGCCAACTCCCACAGATCTCCAGTTGCCATGCCCACCCAGTGAGTGAATGTGATTGGTTCTAGTGTGTGTGGGTCTGCATGTGTGTATGTGTGTGTGTAACCCTACTCCCACCTTTCTGCCACATGTCAGCAGTTGCTCAGTCACAGACACACAGTGATACCAGATTACAGCCTCTTATGTAGAAGAGTACTTGCCTTTGCATGCATATAACTCAATCACCACAGTCCTTCAATACTCTTATATAACACACGCACGAAATATAATGCATGAACGACATTTTGCATTCCAGTAATTCAGGATATATATTACATAAATGTCAGCAAGTTTATTCTGATCATTTAGCAAACTAACCAAGCAATAGTTTTGTCAAGAATCCCCAAGTTTCTCAGTTTTGACAAGTAGTAGAGTTAGAGACGGAGATAAAGAGAAGTATGTGTGGCAGAAAAAGCTCAACAAAGGCTAGACGTTTGTTTTCCGATAAACACACCGCTGTTTCCTAGATGCAGGGCATCAGGCAAAGCTGATTTTAGCTCCTGGGATTCAGGAAGACTCGAGGAGTATCTTGTGATGGAGATGACAGAAAAACAAGCACATGCTTCCCACAGGAAACAAAGGAAACAAGCACACGCTGAGAAACATAAACACCAGCGGTTTAGCAGAGAAAACATTCAACTGCACAGTGTGATGTCAGTCTTTTTAAGGTTCTAATCAATTTAACAATTAGTCTGCATCTTTTTTTTAAGAAAACATGAACAAAGAAGAAAAGATCTAAAAACATAAAATAGAAAATCAGTATCCATGCCTTATATCAGTGTTAAATGTCTAAATATGACAAACACTTTGCAGAAAAACATGAAATATACATTTATAAGCCGAAAAAGTTGTTTTTGTGGCACAGTGTAAAGTGCTTCATCACAGCAAGCAGTTCCACGTGAGTCCATGTCACTGTTTTCTTCCTCCGCTGAAACCTCGGCTCAGTCAGTGTGCTAAACGTCATATGACCGCCCGAGACTGTTGTTCTACATCTCCAACTGCTCACCGCACCTCCGTCTCTCTGCCTGCTCATCGACAAAAGCTGAAAGACTTTCTCCTTTTCCTTCGATGCTGCACAACCTTTCACCAACCGATACACTTTTTGCCTACACGTCTCCTGTTCACACCTCGCCCCGTGACAGACAAATACTCAATAAAGAAGTTGCATCAGCGCACCACAATGAAGCAACAGCATCCTGTGGTGCGCTGCAATCCATCCTGTCAAAAGTTGGCCAGACTGCAGGAAAAATGCAATCGTTTTATGGGTCCCCTTTGAATACTTTTCAAATGTTGAGACAGGATACCGCACCTCTGATACTGCAGATATCAAGCAGGTGTCATTATCTGATTTGACACCGTCATCAGGAAGTCGACCCCACTTGCATTTTGGCCTATATTGCTTAGTATCCTCTTCCGCTTTCATTTATACATGCGGTGGTGGTGATGTGACGCACCACAGCATCCGCTCACTCGCAGCTGAAAGTCAACCGTCACTACCAGAGACCCACGACACACATATAATGAAAATACACATGCATGAGTAAGAGAAAACGAAGAGCCTGAGCTCCAGCTTGACACTTTGTTCTATCTGTGATGCAGTAAGAAGACTTTCTTACTACAATCCTCATTCATACACAAGAGACATACAAGTGCTTTTAAACACTTATTTTCTATCCTACGTTCTGTAGAAATCCACTGTCAGAGGTGCACATGAGAACGTATATGTCCCACCTAGTCAATACAGAGATTTGAATCTTTAAACTGTCACCTCCCTAGTGCAAAGTGTTTCTTGCTTCCTCTATTTCGACAGATCCGTTGCCAAGCAGAATACTTCTAGTAGTTCTAATCGCAGACCCCAGCAATGCTCTCTGTGTTCATGCAGTTACAATCCAAAGGATGCATCCGGGGCAACTTGGGGTTCAGTATCTTGTCCAAGGATACTTGGACATCCAACCTGGAGGACCAAAGGGACGAACCACCAACCCTCTGATTAGTAGACTTCTTCTGTTTATTCATAGGTCACACAGAGCGTTACTGTGGTCTGCAACTACTAGCTGATTGTTTAAAAACCGGCAGATCTCTGCTCTGACTACAGTAGGTGGGACATTTGCGTTCTCATGTGCACCTCCGACAGGTGATGTCTACAGAAGTCAGAGTTGCAGCTGATGAGAGACAATAGCTTTAGAAAAATACAACTTTGGCCTAAGGAGGTGCTAAATGTCCAGGCCGGCACTATAAAAAATGTTATAACCAGTCAGCTAAATAATTTCAAGCAGTGCAGTCCCTTGAGTGACAGCTCATGCTGCATTAAATCAGTCCAAGAAGCAGTGGATTTTTAATGACAGACTTACAGTTAGAATCCATTATTCATGAAAACAATTACTGGAGGATCTTCATTACGTCTTCTGCTGCTTGGGCTACGAATACTATGACTGTGATAACAGTGTACCTCAACACTCAGCTCCACATGCAGTGAAACTTAAACTAAAAACCACACAAGCAGAAAATGTGCGCTCAAACTCACAGCAAAAGTACATTTACCAAAGTCACAGTCGCTGCCTTAAATAGCACACAGACCTCTGTTGGATTTTGTTGTAAACACTTCCCATTTAATCCGCACTGGTACATCAGTCCCAGTCAGACTTATCTCCTTTCGTGCACAATTACACAGAAAGTCTCTGCCTAAACAGGAAGACTATATCTTCCTGTCAAGGTAATGAGCAAGAGGCACAAATAGAAAGGGTAAAATTCAGCACCTGGATGGCAACTTTTTGAGACTTTGGCAAATTAACAGGAAATGACAGCACAGTCACTGAATAGGTCACAGTTTTATGAGCGTAACCTTACCTGTAGCTCACACCATGCCACTTCCACTGTTGTCTCAGTGTCCAAACCCTTGTAGACAGTCTTAAAAGACCCTCTCCCGATCTCAATGTCAAATTTCAGGAAGCGTCCATCTGGTGAAGTCCCTACAGCTTTTGTTTCAGCCTCCTCTATGTCCTCTTGCTCCCGTTCCCTCTGCTCTGCCCGTGCTTTCGCGAGCCCCTTCTCCTCCTCCGTCTCCCTGTCTTTCTCCTCGGTTGGACTACTGATGCTTCCCTCATACACATTTCCTACTGCTTTTCCATCTTTGGCCACCTGTTCCTGAAGCCCTCTGGGACGCAATGCGATGTCAGGCTGTTTGGCTACTGTTTTATTGGTAACATCCAATATTGTCGAGCTGGGCTCTGTTACTGCCCCATCTGCACTATGTTCAACGCTGCTACTGGTAGGGACAGCAATCGTGCACACATGCAAATCTCCCTCGGCATTTTGTAGATGCCCCTCTTCGACTGCCCCACCATGCCCAAATGAAGGCTGAAGGGTACTGCTCTGCAGATAGGAACCTCTTTGGGACTCCTCACCTTCATAATCCTGTCGTCCAAGGTTTAAAAGCTGCGGAGAGAAGATGGTGGGAGTCCCTTCACAGTCTGGGGGTGATGTGAGTAACACAGCTGCTTTGCTGGGCAGGTCCAAAGCTGTGGCATTCGAGTCACAAATGACACTCCGGCGGAAGAAACGGTGCTCGGCCGTTTTAGAGTCTCTATCCATTGTGTGGCGCCGACGTTGGACCTCCGGCTCTCCACCAAGCTTCTCCACGACATGTGTGTCTGAACTGGCAGAGCCGTTCACATTCTTGTGGGGGGTCTGGGGTGATGGGCAGAGGGACGGAGAAGAAACGGGGGCAAGAGGAGCAATGAATTTCACTGCTTTGCTGCTGCTATTTTCTTCAGACATTCTTTCAAAAAAAAAAAAAAAGCTCAAACTGTTAAAAGAGCAAATCTGTATGTAAAGACTTTTATGTAACTTATTCCTGTAAACTCTGAGCGCAGATCTCAACCTCCTAGTTCATTAATCAAACCGCAAGAAAAGGAAAGTTAATGTGCAATAGAACAAAAAACAAAATCGACTGAATGCAGCAATCCTTGATGTCTTTTGTATTTTTTTGCTTTCCTCTTTGCAATGTTTTAAATTAACAACCCACAGTTTCTACAAGGCCCTTTCGTGGAGGGCTCAGGGAAGCCCCAGGTGAGTGGAAGGGGCTTTCTCTTAAAAACTGGGGAGGGAAGGGATGAAAGGCAGTCGACAGAGGAGGGGTGCAAGCACTGCAGTGAGACGATAACCGTCAAATCAACACGTAGCTCCATCCTGCTGCCAACAACCAGACTGGGATGACCGCAACATGGAATGACTGGAGATCTATTAGACCAGTATGGCCTCTTAAAAGATGACAGAAGATGCCTGGACTCCAAAGTTTGATTTTTTAGTTCTGGGGATGTCTCTGTAAGACCAGGCTGAAGCCTCCTCAGCTGCCTGAACAAAAGACTTCCAAGAGAGGTTGCTGGCCTCTATTGTAAGGCCAGATTGATGGCTAGGTAGGCCTAGGCCTGGCCTAGCCTGGGCCAGCTTGGTCTGCTTCTGTCCTTGTCCCTGGAAATAAAAAGAGAAAACTATGAAGTGAAACTGTTTAATTTATAGGTATGAGTATACATGTCAGAATTCAACATACCTGGCTGCCTGCCAAAGTAGCTGATAAGAACACACAAGCAGTCAGATACTTTTTATAGCATTTTATTGCAGGAATTTGAAAGCAATTTCAAAACTTTGGCTTTTTTTTTCTCCTTTCTTAAACCGGGACTATCCGGCTGATTTCTATCTGTATATCTTTTTATTCTCTGACTCAGACAGGAGTCCAAAAAAATCCTCATCCGTGTAGCAACTTTGCGCGATTAAAATTATCATCATTTAAATTATAGTAGACCTTTGCACAGCCTTTAATTCATCATGTCTGACACAAGCCATCAAAGCTCATCTTTTGTTTCCAAGGTCACCCACACTCTGTGCTCTATGGAAACTGTGGGCCAGATATCTAACCGCGACACCTCAGGTCCCAAAGACCAAGTCAACAGATGACAAGCGATGGGCGTACTGGACTGGACAACGTCAGAAGAGGAAACAAGGCAGCCAAATGGTGCCGTAGGCTTGGGCACACTGTAATCTGTAATATTCCCAGGCAAGAAAGTAAAGATGAGTCACTTATTTTGTTATTTTTCTTGTTATGAACCGCCTGGTTAATAAAATGAGAG